CACAAGTCTGGGCTGAAGGCCCAAGTAATCTATGTAAAATGAAGACAGAGTTAGGACACCTGGATTTGAGCTTTGAATGTATTCTACACACAGCTAGTATAAATACCTGCCTTGATATCAAGCTCCTGTAATCTCCTGTAAATTGCAGCCTAGAAAGAAGGAGGGCCATTGATGTGGAGTAAGCATGGCCTCCTCTGTGTAGCACTGCTCACTTATTGTTCAATCAGCGCAGGGGGGTGGGTAGGTGACCAAGCTTTAATCGTTACATGCGACAGAGAAAAGTGAAGTCACCATCCTGGCTGTACTGTCTGGCAGAAGCAGAGTTCTTTCTGGCTACAGTTTATCTTAAAATCTGAGCCAGCCAAGTGACTGACATTTTCAAGTCAGCAATGATAGCCTATTTCTTTCTGAACAGACCTCTTTGAAAAACTCCCCCCAAAGATTTCTTTATCCAGTGTCTGATTACTGGCCCACTAGACCTAGAAGGCCCTGTGAGGTTGTATGTGTGGCAAAGTGATCAAACTGAATTACATACAATTAAACACAGGTTAGCAGGCCTGAAATCCATACAATTCTGGCCGCACATTGCATCAGACCTCACATTTTGCTAACCCACCCTGTCCATATTGTAGTGAAAAAAAAACTGCAATTTTACACCTGGAAATGTATTTGCCAGCATTTTTGCTTGCAATTGTATCATCACTTTATTATGAAAAATAATGTCTTTTTCTGGCATTGATATTAAGATGCTGTCTAAAAAAAAAAATTTAAATCTCCCAAGAGACTCATATTCATTCTCTCTTTTCCACAATATTAATCACTGGAGTTCAGCGGTGAAGCAAAGCTGGTTTATTTCCTGACAAATCTTATGAGGTTTGAAGCAAATCCAGCTGACATATTTTCCACATATTTCACAGAATAGCAGAGCTACAGTGTCATACAAAATTAAGGGAATCTGACTAACTGAAGAGCAGAACTAGCATCCAGAGCTTGTGGATGGCTATATGGTTTAGACACATAAACAAAAATACTCCCCCAGAAAATAGAATACAAAGAGAATTTACAGAACAAACACCAAACAGTCATTTTTTTCACTTATTTACAGTCATTTTGGTTCCACTTGTATCCCTCATGCAGTGTTGGTGCTCAGTTGAAGTCTGAAGCCGGCCATAGATGTAAGGCCCCATGCATATCTAAGTGGCGCGGTGTTTCACGTTTTTGTGTGCATGTTTTGTGTGGCAGTGTAGGGCAGTCCATTCACTTGAATGGGCTGCCTTAAGAGCAGAAACCATGCCAAAGTAGCTCCTGTACCCTTTTTTTGTAGCTGACTTTGATGCGTTTTTTTAACACTGCATTTTTGCGCATTTTTCTTGCAACAAAACACACTTTTTAAAGAATGAATGGTACCCAAATGCATGTTCCTCATTTTGGAATGTTGTTTGCACTTTTCCCCTACACTCAGGTGTGAACGGGCCTTAGTTTTCTATTGTCTATCTAGAAAGTTCTTTCATTCACACAAACGAGGTGGAGGGAGGAACACCCCCACAACCATGACCCAACGCTGTCAAAGTACACTGATCAGTGGCTACAGCCAATTGGCTCCAGCTTCTGGTCAGCAGGTTTTTCCCATCGGCAGAAGTCAATCAGTTAACTTCTGTTGAGAAGGGATGGTCACACACTGATCGAAATTCAGCTGGTCCTGTTTTGATCAGTATATGAATCACTTCAGACTACAGTTTTTAGGCTGGTAATTTCTGTATGTCTTTAGGAAATCGTAACAGCAGTGGATGTAATCTGATAATATAAGAGACTCCAGAGCACATGACACGTGAGACGCAAACTTGGCTGGTAATCTTGACAATGCGTTTCACGTTCATGTGCTTTGTCACGGTTACCAGCCAATCTTGCATTACACATCCAGGACTCTGCTTTTGCCCTCATCCCAGTCGCAGTTTACGTCACTTCCGGAGCGCCGTGATCCCTGGCCAGCTCAGATACACATTGTGGAACAGCCTTCCCTCCCGGCTCGGGGATGTAGGGGAGCAGACTGTCCACTGCATGGTCCTGGGACAGACCGCATAGCATGTCATCTTACCGAAGGTTTTATCATTGGATCAATAAAGGTATACCTCCTTGGGAGGAGAATATTGATTTTATCATACTTTCACAGCGCTGTGTTCTTGGGCAAATAGACTGTAGATATAGTCTGTTACAGTCACTGCTGATTTGCCCCATTCCAGCTGCAAGAACAGTTAAGCTGTCCATGCACTTGTAGATATTCGAATGAACTAATATTTTAACATTCAATTTTGAAATAAATGTTAGTTCCAAAAAGAAATTCACACTTTGAATTTTGACATGCCACTGTGTCTCCTTCCACTTCTGTAGGATACCTACATGCAGCTTGGAGAAAATAAAGGAGCAAACTCAAATGCCTCTTTTATGCATTATAGATACCAATGCCTGTCTGAATGAGGCTATAGAGATTCATTGAATTGAATGGTTGCCTTAAAACAAGCTTGTGAAGGGAAACATAGCATGCAAACACTTTACAGAGGTACTGTACTACACATCTGGAACTGTAGCTGAATGTCCATGTCCCAAAAAACAACTGTCAGTTCTACTCAACTTCAACCAGAGACAGCACTCAACAGGAAGGTCGGAAGTTGTACACCAATGATGTCAGATTGCATCCAACTCTACTAAACCCAGAGATAGCACACTACAGCCCTGCCAAGAGCCACCCCTTGGAAATGCAGTGTGCTATGTCCAGATTTAGTAGAGTCGGATGTGATCTGATGTCATCAGAATGCAACGTCCTCTCTCCCTGTTTAGTATTGTCTGTTTCCTTCTAGAGAATCCAAACTCACTCTCCGTGTCTTCTCTACACCACTTACACATCTCCTACTCTTCACAGCATCCCTGACTCCATGTATTTATGTGATCTCTCTTTGAACATATTGAATACAAACCCAAACCTGTAACAAAACACTCCATGGGGCCAATCCCACTGCTACACCATACAACTATCAGGCTGTACTGTTGTAAACACCCCTTTGCTTCTGTTTACAAAGCCATACCATGTGCTCATTCTCTCAGCATCCATTGGTCCCCCAACAGCTCCTGCCCCATTGGGAAGAAGAATAAGTCTCACAGGGCTATTCCTATATATATATATATATATATATATATATATATATATATATATATATATATATATATATATATATCTCATTGGTTTGCAGTGCCATATATTATGCATACATTTTTTTTTATATCTTTTCTGTAAATACAGAGAGATGTTACAAAAAGTAATAATTTTTTTTTTTACTAAAAGGAAAATGATATGTCTGAAGAAGTGGTGGAAGTGCAGCACTAGACTCAAATCTATAATTTGTCCAAAAAAGGAGTCATTGGTTGAGCGGTTGAGCCTAATGGTTTGAAATCAACAGCTTTCCACAGTTCTCCAGTTGTCTCAAGAAAATTGTTTGGTGCTTGTTTTGGTTTTCTTATATGATGATAAATTTGGTGTGACACCCTTAAAGTGTTACTATACCCACAACAGCAAAATAAGTCTGTATATGCAGTAAAGCATGCTTGTTATACTCACTGTGGAACCAAAGTGGTTAATCCTCTGCATTGTGTAAAAACACTGTTTGATCCTGACTTCTCTTATCCTCCCCTTCGTCCAATGTCCCCCTCTTATCTCATGATAAGACATATCGAGTTGAGTCACTCTGCACATGCTCAATTTGGTGTGTATTGCTACAGAGGTTTTTTTTTCCTTGGGAGAGTTCATGTGATCAGCACAGGACCAGTCAGCACTGTCCAGACAGAGGTTAGGGGATCTGCATCTTCCTAGAGCTAAATTAAAACTCCTCTACAAGCTTTAATCAGTGCCCTGCTGGACACTGATAGAAGTCACAAGACTGCCCTAGCTGCTGATGAGAAAAAAGTATATAGCAGTTTATATTTACTAAAATCATTGCACTTCCATGTTCTCTGTAATGTGGGAGACCGGATAGAGCGAATGCAGGGTCCTGGGTTTAGTAACACTTTAAAGTGAGGTTATCGGATAAAGGGGTAAATATATGGAAGGGAAAATTACTTTTTTTAAGTATTCACTGTGTGTACAGTTATTAGTCAAGTTGTATTTTTGAGAATTAATTTCATTATTGAACAGCTACAGTGTTCTCAGTCAATCCAAAATGTTAATAAACCTCAAATCTGAATATTTAGGAAAGTAAAAGTAAGGTTCTTTCTTAAGAGAATAACTATGTGCGCACAATTATTGGGCAACTATTAGTGTGCAGAATTATTATGCAACTAAATGAAAAAGGAAAATTTTCCCATCTTACTTGTTTATTTTCATCTGTTAACGTGAGAATTATAAACCAACAACTCAAAATGTACAACTAAACATTTTTGACATTTAAAAAAAATAAATAAATCGGTGACCAATATAGCGAACCTGCTTTTCAATAACAGTCATAAGCCTTCCATTCATGGAGTCTATCAGTTTCTTGATCTGTTGACAATCAACTTTTTCTGCAGCAGCAACCACAGCCTCCCAGACAGTGTTCAGAGAGGTGTACTGTTTTCCTTCACCGTAAATCTCCCATTTAAGAAGGGCCCACAAGTTCTCAATAGTGTTTAGGTCAGGCGACGAAGGGAGCCTTGTCATTATTCTTTCATCTTTAAGGCCTTTACTGGCTACTCACGCAGTGGAGTACTTCGATGCATGCAATGAAGCATTGTCCTGCCTAAATATCATGGTCTTCTTGAAAAATGCAGACTTTTTCCTGTACCACTGCTTGAAGAAAGTGTCTTCTAAAAACTAGCAGTAGGTTTGGGAGTTGATTTTGAGTCCATCTTCAACTCAAAAAGGTCCAACTAGCTCATCTTTAATAATACCAGACCATACCAGTACCCCACCTCCACCTTGCTGGCATCAAAGTGGAGCTCTGTGCCCTTTTCTGATCCAGCAATGGGCCCATCCATCTGGACCGTCAAGAGTCACTATCATCCCATCAGTCCATAAAACCTTTGAAAAATCTCTCTTCAGGTATTTCTTGGCCCAGTCTTGATGTTTCAACATATGTGTCTTGTTCAGTGGTGGTTGGGTAGAAGTACAAGGTGTTCAGTGCTCAGACGTACAAGGTGTTCAGTGCTCAGTGCCTAGAAGTACAAGGTGTTCAGTGCTCAGAGACATGGCCAAGGTAAAGAAGGCTGAAGCCTTCTTTACCTTGGCCATGTCTCTGAGCACTGAACACCTTGTACTTCTAGGCACTCCAGGTAGGTTGCAATTCTGGTATATGATAGCACTGGAGGATAATGGGTTCCTGGTAGCTTTATGTTTGATTCTTCTCAAATCTTTGGCAGTTAATTTGCTTATTTTTTCTCAATACGTTTCTTGCGACCCTGTTGACTATTTGCAACAAATTGTTTGATTGTTCTGTGATTACACCCTAAAGCTTAGCAATTTCAGGAGTGCTGCATCCCTCTGAAATACTTTTTACAATATTTGACTTTTCACTCAGTTAAATCTCTTATCTGGCCCATTTTGACTGAGCAAAAAGAAGCTGACTAATAGTTATGCACACCTTGAAACAGCGTCTTGCTCTCCTTATGCCACACCCTCCCTCAACATCACCTGACAAGCTTAAATCCATTAAGCATTCAGGTTTATACAGCTTGGAGTTGGACAATATGCATAAAAAAATGACGATTTGGTCAAAATACTCACTTGCCTATTAATTTTGCACACAGTGTATACCTTCACAGAACATTGGTTTTCAAGTCACATAGGTGAAAAGCAGGGTGAGGGGGAGAAGAGAAGGAGGGGATCAAACAGAATTTTTTGGCTGGGCAAACTCTACTCGTATAAGTCAACTGGTACAGAGGAAGTACAGATCTAACAGCGGAGCACCAATCAACGTAAGAGGTTGGGGTAAAGAGTTTCCATTTGAGGAGGATTTCCCTTCTGGCATAGTAGAATATGTAGAACAACAGTAGTTTAGCATGTTTTGAAATGAAGAGGGAGTTGTGAAGTCCTAACAAAAGAAGCAAAAGATCCAGGGCAAGGATACGTTTGGCACCTTAGTCAATCTAGTTGTCACCTTTTTTAGTGCTCAAAAACCTCAGGGCACACCACGTGATAAAAAGTGCCACTGGTATTCTGATACATTCTGTTACAGAATGGAGAAAGAGTGGGATCAATGTGATGCAGTCTCTAGGAGGTATAATATATCCTTTGTAAAAATTTCAACTGAAAAAATGTATCCCTAGCAAAGTGTAACGGACCGCCTGACAGTACCTCTATCAGTCTCCTGATAGAGCCTCCCCAGAGTGCGGAGTCTAAGTACCGGAGCACTTGTTCACCAGGGCCCCTGATGGTGGGGATGGACTTGGAGCGCTCCGGGACCAGGTCCCAGCTGCTAGGTATCTCTACCAGAGGTAGAGGAGTCTGCCAAGGGCTCCAGCGGGTTAAGAGTCTGATGTGAGGGAGCCCCGGGATCCCTGAGGGATGGATGGACGGATGAGCAAAGTCAGAGTCAAACAAGCTGGGTCGGTAACTAGCGGGTCGGTGAGGTACAAGACGATAGGGAAAGGATAGTCGGGTCACACGCAGGGTCAATACCAAAAGATCAGATCTATAAGGGAACATCCAGGAGCAGAGTCAGGCAAGCCAAGGGGTCAGGACAGGAGAAGGCAACAAGGTCAGACAATCCAGATCAGAGTACTCACTACACAGGCAACAGGATACAAAAGACCATTCGGCAACAAGCATCTGTGCAGGGCTGGCTTAAGTAGCCCGCCCTGCACCTGACCGTCGCCGCCTTGGTCCCAGTGCCTGCCTAGTACTGTCAAGACGACATGTGCGCCTGGGTCCTAGTGCCCTGCTACCTGTATGTCTTGACAGACGCCTACGCATGTGTAGACCCATGCGTCGTGATGGTCCCTGACACAAAGATAATCAATTGTGTGTATTGGGCCACCACATTTTCTCTCTCGCTCGCTTAGAAAAAGCAGGAATGTCATGTTGCCATTTGTGGAAGAGTGAATGCTTCTTAACTCTGGTGAATTATGAGGTAGGCATACGTTGAGGAGAGGGGCTTGTCAAGATTGGAAGTCCTCAAGATTGATTCTAAAGAGCTCTGCTGGAGGTACCTAAAAAAAAAAGTAGTAGTTAGGAAGCTCAAATTCTGTGTTTAATAAATCAAAGAATCATAGTTCTCCCGTTGAGAAAATATGAGTAAGAGTAATGATACCTGCTCTCCAAATCAAGGGGTCAGGAAAGCTAGAAAAATGAGGGAGACTGGGAATTATTCTAAAGGGGGTATTTGGAAACCAGAGTACAGGAGTAGAAAAGTAATTTTTAAAAGGATTGAATTATGTTCTTGGTCTACATTTTTAGGTATTTCGGGGTCCAGGCATTGGACTGGGCCCATTGGAAGGTCACACCTATTGATATCGCATCCATCAGAAATAACACTGCGCATCCAGAAATAACACTGCGCAACAACTTTCATGTACCATTGTTTGAAATGGATTTTATTAATTGAACAGAAAAAATGTGTTTAAGAGGCACGTTGAGATCAAGCTTAAAGAATGTTGATACTGAGCAGAGATTTGGCTTGATGTGTCTTTTGCTGAGTAATAGGCTTATGCTTGTTCGTCCAAAAATGTAAGAAATTACAGATTATGAATATAATTTCCTTTGCTGTAAAGGCTTCAAAAATGAAGCCACTAGTGTTGTGCTGCCTGGCAATGAGTACACCTCTGGAAAGTGTTGGAGATATGGAAGAATGTCGTATTGGAGGACTTGTTATAGGAATGGAATACAGATTTATATAGATGCCTGGAAAAAACAAAATATTTACTTATCTTACAAATTCTTCTGGAAAACCTGATTGGAGAGAACAAAGGTAATGGACATGGCATAAAATATAGAATGTTAATTGAAATTAATAATTAAAGGAATGTTCTTAGAATAAACTGTAGGCCTGGTTTCCTAACTAGTGAGGCCTTATCGGTGCCATGTATCACATTTTTTATAATTCGTCATCTCTAAATTTAGACAGTTTGTAGCAATTGTAGGCAATTCCTTTCTCAATATTAACCAGTGGTTTCAAGTTAATAATAACTACCGTTGTAGGGAACAATCACAAAAAGATACAATCAGCATTATACTAAATAACTGTTCTGTCTTTATTTGGCACATTTGCGGTTTTTATAAATATGCTTATGTAGGTATCACATTAATATCAAGGAATATACTTTCAAGGTGATAAAGGTTCCTATCTTCTCAATTAAATTCTTTGACCTCTGATCTTCATTTATTTTGATTCTCATAATTCAAGACTATTTGGGAGAGTGTTTAGAAAGTTGTATATATCCACCCTGTTCCATTTTACTTCCTCTGCCTGTGAAAATGGAAATTAAAAATGTTCTTTTGTTACTAGGAAATATTATAATCACTAATACAAATGCCCAATATTCTATTGCAAAGATAAATACATTATAAGAAAATAATGAACGACATCAGAGGCCAAGGGATATGAGGAAAGTGTAGAGGACAAAGAGCAATGCATGTGAACCGCATTCTGAATGGATGGTACACAGGAGTATGGCATCTATAGAGAATGATGCCACTGGAGGGCTTCATTTTAAGGTAAGTTTGTCATAATGTGCTGGTATACTGTGCATATACTGTGTACTAGCACATTATGACTTAAACCGCCCTGGCCCCAATTTTTTTTCTTATTGTCAGAGTTTACTACCGCTTTAAGGTGTTTTCTCGGAGAGAAAATGTCAGGGACCATCGCGACGCATGGGTCTACACATGCGTAGGTGTCTGTCAAGACATGCAGGCAGCAGGGCACTAGGACCCAGGCGCACCTGTCGTCTATGACAGTACTGGGCAGGCACTAGGACCTAGGCTGCGCCTGTCAGGTGCAGGGCGGGCTACTTAAACCAGCCCTGCACAGACACTTGTTGCCGAATGGTCTTTGCGTATCCTGTTGCCTGTGTTGTGAATACTCTGATCTGGATTGTCTGACCTTGTTGCCTTCTCCTGTCCTGACCCCTTGGCTTGCCTGACTCTGCTCCTGGATGCTCCCTTATAGATCTGATCTTCTGGTATTGACCCTGCGTGTGACCCGACTATCCCTTGCCTACCGTCTTGTACCGCACCGACCCGCTAGTTACCGACGCGGCCTGTTTGACTCTGATCTTGCTCATCCATCCATCCCTCAGGGATCCCCGGGTTCCCTCACATCAGACTCTTAAATCACAGGAGCCTCTGGCAGACTCCTCTACCTCTGGTAGAGATACCCGTAGCTGCGACCTGGTCCCGGAACGCTCCAAGTCCATCCCCACCATCAGGGGCCCTGGTGAACAAGTGTTCCGGTACTTAGACTCCGCACTCTGGGGAGGCTCTATCAGGGGACTGATAGAGGTGCTGTCAGGTGGTCCGTTACAGAACCTTACTACCTTGTCATGTAGCTGGCACTGTCAAATGGCAATTGCTCCTGATTTGTGCATGTCCCATGAAATGGAAGGTCAATTAGCCACTGCTCAAGGAAACCCTAGAAACCTCTGGTGGCAGTGGTGTCCCGAGGCAGGTGCAGGGGGTGCGGTCCGCACCGGGTGACGCCGTCCGCACGGGGGTGACACCGGACCCGCTCCAAGAAAAGGTAAGTTGTAAAGAAAGCCGACGATCCCCGCAGGATGCATCGGATCTGCAGATTGAGCATAATGGATCGGAGTCCAATCCATTATGCTCAATCCGCAGATCCGATTCATTCTGCGTGGATCGTTGAAGGGGGTGTCACCAAGTGTTACCACATCGGGTGACACCTACCCTAGGGACGCCTCTGTCTGGTGGAACCCTGTTTGAGAATGGCAGGTCCAGATAGTAAGAATTACAGCAGGTGTTAAAATATAGAAATCTTGGCTCAAAACTAAAATATTCATAATAGAAAGCCTCTGTCTTGAAAACACAAAGACTCCTTTTGCTAGCCTTTCACAAAATGCTGGTTTTGAGGCCTTAGTCACAAATGCAGATCAGTAGTTCTAACTCTAGTAGGTGCATGCTTGTCCTGGGTCATATACATTTGTACGGTGTGTTAATACATCTGTGGTATTGCTCTGTTTTATCAGTTTTTCGGTTACGTTTTTGAGTCTTTTTCGAGATGTGCAAAGAGATCACACAAACACTTGTAGGTCAAATCAACATGTATATAACATTTATAGAAATAATGACAGATAGAAATAACAAATGTAATAATATTTGGAAAACTGTAACAAGATACTTAGCTATACGTGCCTTTTGACCAGCATTCCCTTCCCGTCTTTACGGCTTGGCAAGATGATCAAACCAGACGTGTGCATAATGCAGCCCTGGTCAGAGGCTACCTATGCC